TACGAGTATCCTCCCGAGGCTTTCAAACTATATGAAGCAAGACGCTTTGAGACTACGTGCAAGTATTGTATAGATCGCTACCCGGATCACGTCGGAGGGAGTCTGATGCGACTATCTTTCCAGGTATACCGGCTGTTTCGACTTGATTTGCGATGGTCACGTCAACACCAAAGATATCATAGTTGATCTTCGTTGTAGCTGTAATGACGACAAATCGGGAACAGACGCCCACGGCCCGTGGGTCCGAGACATCGTTATCCCACACCGGCAACAACCCCGAACTGAACTCACCAATAACACCGCCAATGAACTTGCCGAAGTGCAGGCCTATCCGCATTTCCAAGTCTGGCGCGGACATTTCCAGTCGAACTGCATGAAGGGCCTCCACCATTGCCTGGGCGAATGCTACCATCCTCCTAGCAGACTGTATCTGCCAATATTCCCTGGTGCCAATCAGATCAGATCAGCAAACAAGAGCTAGAGACAGCTACCAAGGAACTTGCACAGTCGATGCTCCCAGAATCGAGGGACTGTTTACTCCTATGGGGCCACTGTGGAAGATGCCGGGATCATCTAAGAATCCCCCGAAAAGGTCACCTCTATCCACAGCTACACACTAACCCTAGTGCGGCTATTCTACATAGATGCTTAGAACATGCATAGTGCGTATATCACATGGCCGTGAGCAACCATGAGAGCGATCCACGATATGAGAATGCGTCGATGATGGCGTCGATAATAACGAAACCACTCAACATACCTTATCGACGCCTTCCTTAGGCTCTGTACTCGCAACGTATGCATCTCCAATAGTATGAACCTGACGGGAAGAGACCCTCTGGAGACCGGTCATGTTCAGTTTTCGATTATCCGTTTGCTGTCACTTCAGCGAGGTGATTGCCCCGCGGTACGAGGCGAGTCGGTTGTGAGGGTCGCGGAAAGAGCAATACGTAATGTTGGCCTCGGATGTTGCAACTATTAAAGGAGCTCACCTTGTACACTGCATAAGTGTCCGATAGATTGTCAAACCGCGAGAACAGAGTAGTGAGGAGTGATACAACTCGCTCGGCAGGGGCGCTCTTCGCATAAGCTGTATAGTTGCATATATCAGCAAATAGGAGGGTCATGTTCTTGAACAGCGACGCCATGTATCTATCCGCTAGGTATGCTTCTAATGCCTAGAGAAATGACAAGAACATTCCGAGACCCGCAGGATTCAAGGCCTACAGACGAGGGCATGAACTCCGATAGTAATCGATTAGCTCGTTTCTGCCAACTTCGGTATTCAATATCGGTTAAATATATACGCCTTTCCCAAGACTCTCTCATCCGAGCCATGATTGCCGAAACAGAAGCGAAACAAGCAGCCATTGCGGACGTCTGCACGAAAACACCGATAACTTCACCCTGGAATCTATAAAATTTTAATAGATGCACACAATGTATAGCTAAGCTGCGTTATTCCGTCTCATAACGAATCGGTGACTGATTTTCCCTGTCGAATGACCCTACGAGGCCAGAGAGAACCATGAAGACCTTCCAGTCACACCATGGACAAACTCCAATGTAAAACAGGCCAACAGGAACAGTCCGGATGATCAATTCTTACAAGACACCTGTGTTCACGAAATTACCTCTATGGCGAGGGTGGATACGACATGGTCACTCGAGTTCCACAACACCACTATTGGAACGAGGGCGACGATGTTGGCGTAAACGAGGTGCTTGAACAGTAGAGCGGCTTTAAAGTTGATCATGATCAACCACATGGTCAGCTCGAGGCTATTAGCATATGACTGGTATCTGGCAAGATTAGCGTTGTCAAAGGATAATCGCGATAGTTTTGGCACAAAGGGACACTGGCCAGGGAGGAGTCGTCGAAAGAATAGAGCCTAGTATTACACTGCAACGGAAGATCCATCGGCGATGTTCGAGTCCATGCATGACTGATCATCAGCCTCACAGTCATCTTGCCGCCAGTCAACGAAATCAGAGGTATGTAACGAAGTTACCAAAATCCCAATGGCGTACACTCCGACTGTGAGTAGTCTCAGAGCTGGCGCAGACAAGATAGTCCTCAGCGAGTAGAGCACATACAATACCATCAGGAGGATCCATACCGTGAGTCGGGCGAAGAGGAAGCGGGAAAATATGACTTGCGGCTGCTGTGGTACGACCAGAAGCTCGATGGTTTGGATAAGGTAAGATACCGACAGAATAAGCAGGGTTCGCCGAGTCCATTTCGAGGTTGCGAATGTTGCGAGACAATCTTTACGAAACTCGGTCTCATAGCTTCTTGGAGGATTCCAAGGTGAAGAAGTTCGCCCTGTCGCTGCTCAGATCGATATACTTGACGGCTGCTTCACAGTAACATCATGACGATCGCTATGATATC